GTGTCAAGGTCCGCGCGGTGTTGGACTGGAAGAGCCCGCGCAATCGGAAGGAAGTCCAGAGGTTCGTCGGTTTCGCCAACTTTTACCGCAAGTTCATCAGAGGTTTCTCGAAGGAGACAGCAGCAATCACGGACACTCTCAGTTCCAAGAAGAAGAAGTTCACTTGGACGGACCAGGCGGAGCGCTCTTTTCAGAAGCTTAAAAGCCTCTTCGCCTCCGAGGAACAGCTGCTGCACGTGAATCCCGGCAGGCCCATGCGGGTTGAGACTGACGCATCAGACAGAGCGGTAGGGGCCGTCCTTTTGCAGGAAGATCCGCAAGGGAACTGGAGGCCCTGTGCTTTTTACTCCCGGAAGCTCAGCAAGGCGGAACAAAACTACACCATCTGGGACAGGGAGTTGTTGGCCATTCACGCAGCTTTCAAAGCGTGGCGGCACTTCCTCATAGGAGCCAAGCACACCGTGCAGGTCCGCACGGACCACAAGAACTTAGAGTATTGGCGCACGGCGAAGCTCCAGAGCCAGAGGCACATGCGCTGGGCGGAATTCTTCGCGGATTTCGACTTCCGAATAGAGTACATCCCGGGGGACTCCAATGTCATAGCCGATGCGCTCTCAAGGAAACCGCAATATCTCGAGGAAGCGGCAACAGTAGCAGCCAAGCACATTTTCGCACCGCAGGCGTGGGCGTGCGCTTCAGTCGCCGTCGACCTGGACGCGGTGCGACGCGCGCTGCAGACGGATCAGTTTGCACAATCCAAGATGGAAGAGCTGCGCAGAGGTACAACGAGAGACGACGAGTTCCAGATACGCGACGGGCTGTTAACTCGCAAAGGTGCCCTCTACGTGCCAGGGGACGATCTCCGCGCAAAGGTTCTGCACCAGTTGCACGACGCACCCAGCGCGGGCCATTTCGGCAAAGAGAAGACAGCGGAACTGGTAGCCAGGGACTTTTGGTGGCCCCAAATGCGAGGAGAGGTCGCGGATTACGTCGCCAGATGTGACACCTGTCAGAGGTCCAAGCCAGTGCACCAGAAGCCAGCCGGACTACTGGAACCGCTGGAGACGCCACTGCAACCGTGGGAGCGGGTAGCGCTGGACTTTGTTACTGATCTGCCCAGTTCCCGAGGCAAGACGGCGGTACTGGTGGTTGTGGACCTGTTCACCAAGATGGCGCACTTCATTCCTTGCGCGAAGGTGGCGACAGCGGAACAGACCGCCAAACTCTTCATCGACCACGTGTTCGGAGTGCATGGGCTGCCACAGTCCATCCTGTCCGACAGGGGGCGCCAGTTCGTTTCCAGTTTCTGGCAGAAGCTCCTAGGTATCCTGCACGTCAAGATCAACCTATCGTCGGCGAGACATCCACAGACCAACGGCCAAGCAGAGAGGGTCAACGCTATCATGCAGCAGTACCTGAGATGTTACGCCAATCAACGACCCGCAGCTTGGGTGGATTACCTGCCGATGGCTGAGTTTGCCTACAACAACACGAAGCACGCGTCGACGGGGGTGACGCCGTTCTTCGCTAACAATGGACGACATCCCAGAACCTTCCCGGGGTTCGTAACGACGGGAGAGGGGGCGCCGCAGGGGGCCGACCATTTCGCAGCAGAACTGCAAGAGGTGCACGAGGAGCTGCGGAGACATTTGGAACTAGCTAAACAAGTGCAGGCGGACAAACACAGGAGGGCGGGAGAAGACATCCAGGTGGGGGACTGGGTATGGTTAGCGGCCCAAGCGGTGCCGGCCAAGTCGTTAGCTAAGAAGAAGCTAGGACACAGGCAGCTAGGGCCATACCAAGTTGAGGCCAGGATCAATCCCGTAGCGTTTCGACTGGCCCTCCCCGAAGGTTCCAGAATGCACCCGGTCTTTCATAGGTCGGTGCTCACCCCCTACAAGGCCCCACACAGATTTCAGGAGTCAGGGACGGCACCAGACCCACGCAGAGAGTCACCCAAGAGGGGGAGGTCACCTAGGGCCGAACCACTCAACGAGGTCACAGAGATTCTGGACTCGAGATGGGGGGAAGAGGGAGTAGAATATTTTCTCGCCAGAGAGGGTACCCCAGCCAGCGCCAACAGTTGGGTGCCGGACTACGCTTTGGACGAGCCTCTTCTCAAGGACGAGTTCCATGCCCTTTTCCCACACAGGCCCATGCCAGCCGAGTACTTTGACGACTGGCTTTTTACGCCCACACTTTCAGCCAGCACTTTCCGGGGGTTTTCTTCCGCGGAGGAGGGAACGCCAGAATCGAGCCCTCCCAGGGGATCGTGCTCGGGGGTGGAGACGGAACCCTCTTATTGGTGGGACGAGCAACCAGAGGAGGACTGGCGCAGGAGGTGGAGGGAGGGGCCTTGGCCAACAGCACCGGACGAAGTAGCAATGGGAGAGGAGACCGAGAACACTTTGGGAGACGAACCCGAGTTCGAGCACACATACACTGAGCTGGAAGCAGAGGAAATCGAAGTAGACGAACTGTATCCAGCATCTACCCCCGCAGAGACGCGGCTCCCAAAACCTGCGCCCGATGGGCGGGAGGGGGGAAGGGGGGCTTCGAAGGGGGGATGGATGTCAGGGGTTCAGGGAGAGAGGCACAGATGAGGGAGGAGACTGAGAGCGAGGGGGAAGAATCCCGGAACGAGGAGGAGGAGGATGACAATGACTTGAGGGTTTCCATGAGTCTTTCAAGTGAATCGGAGGATTCCCAAAAGGGGGCGCCCCTGGTCAGGCCAAGGGGAGTCACAGGGGGGACTCGTCAGGAGCAGGGGAGCAGCAGGGGAACCCCGAGTGGGAGTTGGAGATCGGGGCCGGCTTCCCCGCCGGAACGGAGTGAAGAGGGTGGAGTTCCCAGTGTGACAGACGAAGCAGAGCAGGAAGCAGAGAGGGGAAGGAGATCAGGGCAAGACGTCCTGCCGGAAGGGGCGGAGAGTAGTACAGAGAGTAGTGTAACTGTCAAGAGGAAGGTCAGAGGTAGCGAATGCGCGCCAAGTTCAAATGTGGAGGCGCGCGGAAATGCGGAGAGCCCGGAGGAGGAGCCTGGTCCCAAAGCACGGAGGAGGGGGGAGCAGGCGTCTGGTGACTCAGCGTCAGGGGAATCCAGGAGGGGAGGAACCCAGGGGGGCAGAAAGACCCTGCGGAAAAGGAAGGACAGGAAGAGGTGGACCAGCACAAGCCTCTTAAACTGGTGTAGAGGCGGGACTGATTCAGAGGGGACTTCAGCGGTCTAAGCGTAACAGACGTGGGGCTGCGCGCCTCGGCTGTGGAACAAACAATGTACTTCAATAAAGACTTTTGTAAATAAAGTGGACTTGGCGTTGGTCTCTTGTGAGCTGGGACCTGAGGCGGCCCTGACAGATATGAATTATTTGGAACAGGAATGCTCTACACTGAAGCAAATGCCCTAACCTATAAAGAAAAGGGGGGAAAAAGGGACGCGGGTGGCGCTGTGGGTAAAAGCCTCAGTGCCTAGGGCTTGCCGATTGAAAGGTCGGCGGTTCGAATCCCCGCGGCGGGGTGCGCTCCCGTTGCTCAGTCCCAGCGCCTGCCAACCTAGCAGTTCGAAAGCACCCTCGGGTGCAAGTAGATAAATAGGGACCGCTTACTGGCGGGAAGGTAAACAGCGTTTCTGTGTGCTGCGCTGGCTCGCCAGATGCAGCTTTGTCACGCTGGCCACGTGACCCAGAAGTGTCTGCGGACAGCGCTGGCCCCCGGCCTCTTGAGTGAGATGGGCGCACAACCCTAGAGTCTGTCAAGACTGGCCCATATGGGCAGGGGTACCTTTACCTTTTTTTATAAAGAAAAAAACATGATCATGTTCAGTTTTTCCTGTCTTTCTAAAGGGAATTCACAGAACCACAGAATTGTAGAGCTGGAAGGGACCTCAAGGGTCATCTAGTCCAACCCCCTGCAATACAGGAATCTCAGCTAAAGCATCCATGGCAGATGACCATCTAGGTAAAGGACCCCTGACAGTTAAGTCCAGTTGGGTGGTGGTTGCGGTGCTCATCTCGCTTTACTGGCTGAGGGAGCCGACATTTGTTCGCAGACAGTTTTTCCGGGTCATGTGGCCAGCATGACTAAACCGCTTCTGGGGAACCAGAGCAGCGCACGGAAACACCGTTTACCTTCCTGCCAGAGCAGTACCTATTTATCTACTTGCAGTTTTACGTGCTTTCAAACTGCTAGGTTGGCAGTAGCTGGGACCGAACAACGGGAGCTCATCCCGTCGTGGGGATTTGAACCACCAACCTTCTGACTGGCAAGCCCAAGGCTCAGTGGTTTACACCACAGCGTCACCTGTGTCCTCTGTTTAAAAACCTCTGAGGAAGGAGAGTTCACCACCTTCCAAAGGAGTCCATTCTACTGTCAAACAGCTCTTACTGTCAGAAAGTTCTTCCTGATATTTAGATGGAATCTCTTGTAATTTGATTCCATTGGTTTGCGTTCTAACCTCCAGAGCAAACAAGTTTGCTCCAACTTCCAATATTCCTTTAGATATTTGAAGATGGCTATCATCTCTTCTCTCGGTCTCCTTTTTCCCAGGCTAAACATACCCAGCTCCCTCAACCATTCCTCATAAGGTTGGTTTCCAGACCCTCACAAGGCCTGGTTTCCAGTGAAGAGTGTGGCTGAGGAGAGTTCTAAGGACCAGACAGAGAGACTTGGAGGGCAAAATGTGGTTCTGGGTCTGAGGTCCCCCACCCGTGCACTAGGCAAAGAGTGTGTTCAAGGCAGACCTTGGTACCTGGCAGGTTCATGTAGAAGGGAATGGTCTGCGAGGGACCTGGGTCCTAAGCAATTGTCACTACTACTGTTACTAACCAACTTGAATTGAGGTTGGAATAGTTCATAGTTGCAGGCAATTCAGAAGAAATTGTGGAAAATAAGAGGCATTGCAAGGATAACAAGGGACAGTTACTTTGCTTGGAGATCAGACTAACCAGGGAGAACTGAGAGGCACAGGTAGGAGAAAAGGAAGAAAGAGAGCACATTTCTTACTTCTGACAGTCTCCGCATTCAATAATCCCATTGGTCTCTTTGATGGCAGGTTCATATACAAACACTGGGTATTCTGTGTCACATGGCTGTAGCATGTCGTGCTTCTTGTGCTTGTGAGCTGAGATGGGGAAAAAGAGGCTGAGTGAGAAAATCGGGTGAAGGAAACAAATGAGGTGTGGGAAAAAGAAGCGGAAAGATGTTGACCCAAAAACGAAGATTACTGGCAGCCACTAGGTGGTGTGGGAGACTCAGTGTATGAGGATGCCCTAGAAGCATGAATATGGCCACCCTTCAGCCAATGGTCGGATTATGTAGCTATCAGTCTGACAGGCTGTTTACTGCTAGAAAGTCAAAACACACAAACAAGTGGGAAACCACTTGCAGTTAGTTCATGGCTAGAATCAAACCAGCTGGCCAAGACATTACTAGGTGGCTCATATGGGGGAAGCAGGAAGACTTTTTACTAACGACAGTGACTGCATGAAATATAGCGGGCTGGGCTGGCTAGTACAGCACCAATCTTTAGTAACTGCACCTAAATACCTAAGCAGGAAGCTTTACTAGAAAGAAAGTCCACTACCCAGCTCCCACTAGCCACCATAGGAACTGACTACTTGCAGTGGAAAGATCTACATTTTGGGGACCCTGAAGCTTGAACTGTTATGGGGGCCCTTTGGAATCAGCAACAAAGCCTGAGTAACCACTGTTATCTTCTTCAATGGGGTTGTTCCATGACAGATCACCAAACCTTTACAGCACCTGTGCTACTGACTGTCAGACTTTGGTATTGTTGAAATATATATATATATATATATATAATCACTTTTGAAGTTTTTGGAAAGCTGAAATCCAAAATATTTAAGAAAGCATAAATATTGTTTAAAATATTTATATTATTAACTGAGTATACAAAACTATTTTAATTGTGTTGCATGTCAACATTTTTAACATTTAGGTGCATTATTTATTTATTTTAAAGAAACACCAGGTGTCATTGTGACATTTTGAAGGACAATGTATGATGTTTAGATTTGAGGATAGCTGAGATAATGCGTGGATATGTTTGCACAGAGAAAAAAATAATCACCTGCCAGATAGTCAGGGAGTGGGTGAACTGGTTGGTCATCAATAACAGCAGAAGTTTGCATTTGATAAAACTAACAGTGGGGCTGCTGTTCTTCAAACAGAGAAATGCTCAAAATGCTGTTGGACATTTGCATCACACTGGCCTGAGGGAGAAAAGCTGTGCTGGCATTTATTCTCTTGTGCAATGACGACAACTCAGAGACGCAAAGATATTGCAAATGTCACACAAACACGTAAAGCGTCTGTGTCACTCATTGGGAGTTGAAACAGTAACAAATATCCAAAAAACACACCCTTTTCTAGTTTGTTTTTAATCTATCCATTTTTATCTCCCTACCCTTCAAGGAGCTCAGGATCCTCTTATCATCACAACTCCCTTCTCAGGTAGGTAAAACCTGTGAACTCTTGGAATTGGAATCAAGCAGGTGATTGAGCCTGTCCAACACTCTAACCACCCTGGCTCTCTCACAAATCTGTGACTGTAGCTTTTGTGAAAATTGCAGTGCTCTAATCTGGATACAAGGCTTGCAACACCATTGCACACAAAATGAAGACTTGTGTAGCCCATCTGTCAAGCACCAGTGAAGCGGGGAGAGAGAACGGGACTCGCCTTTCCTTGTTGCTTCCTGCTGGGAAGTGAGTATCAGAGCTCCCATTGCTTTGTCACAATGGCACCTGTCCTTCCTGAGGGGTTTGCAAGTGACTGAATCTCTGCTTCAGTGAAACCATCACTGACAATCTGATTCCTCCCATTGCTTTTCTCTGCCTGTAATGTTGTTCACCAAGTTTCCCTCAACGTAACTATGCAGCAGATTCCCTGTTCTAATCTTTCAACTATGAAGGAAGCAGCAGGCTATTTTAACACAACCTCCCTCAACTGGGATTAAAACCGAAATAAATTTATGCCAGATGGTGCAATGAGTATTGTAAACAACACCTATTTGTTTTCCTAGGTCTTATTAAGTTTCCATGCTGTATAGCAAGGATTTGTCCAGTCCTGCATACGTCACCCTGATGTTTTGCATTACCCCTCTGCCCTAAATTGGTTGTCTTGTCTAAGGTCTTCTAGATAAGATTCAGACCTCAACTCACCAACTCCCTAAAACTAATAAAAAGGCCGCTGGTTAGACAGCTTGTCTACAATGTGACAAAATGTAGGTGGACAGGAGTCTTAACCACAGTGCAACCCTGATTGGGTGAGCCAGATTTAGCATCTGTATAGATAGACCCCATATTTAGCACTCAATATTTTCTAGGTTTCTCTTCTAGTGCAGTGCACCTTACTAAAACCTAGAAATTACCCAACATGGAAAATATGTGGCCTATCCAGGATGCAAAACTGTGAGTTACAGCCATGCAGTTACATGTCCACAACCAGCTCACTTTACATATATAAACTTTGACTCTCCCTCTCCTCAAGGTAGAACTGCATTAGTGTCATGTGTGGAAGGGAAGATCCACAGCAAGCTTTCCATCTTCTTACTGCGTTTCGTTCACAAATAACATTTGCTCTTGGAGCCACAGAGATTCATTCTGTTCAAACTCCCTTTTGTCTCTCTGTTAAACCACACTTTAACTGCATCGGAAGTGAATTTCCTCATACCCCAAACAGTTCCTTGGACACAGAGCAATAACAGCAATAAATTGAGCCTGAGGAGAGGGAACAAATTCAGTCAGCTTCAACACAGTGAAGCCACTGCTACATTTGGGGCAGGGCATTCCCTTCCCCCCTCATCCCCCAGTTTCATTCCACAGATGAGCATGAATTAACACCTGAGCAGCATCAGCAAAAGGGAGCAAAATGTCACTGCCATCCTGATATTTGCAGTCACATTGATCCGGAAAAATAACAACAGAGATAGGTTTTAAATTGCTGGCATGTCACTGTCAGCAGGGCAGCCCAAAGATATTTTTTTCCTAGCCCAAGCAGCCGTCCATGTGACCAGAGATCGGCACCTCTGCACCATTTTATGATACTGCAAAGGGCCTTGAGTTTCTGTATCTCTGCTTTCCTAAATCATATATTATTAAATATACAAGACCACTGAGTGGTTTCCATAAAACACAGTAAAATTGTATGAAATCTCTCTCACAGATTGCTAGATGTTACGGCACGTGCACAGGACAGCTGCTCCCCAGTGGGGGCTGGTGTCTATTGGGATAGGCATGGATGCCAACAGTAGGAGGAGCCAGAGCTGATGATAAGCAGAACTAATTCTAGTTTAACCCCAATCCTCCTCCACAGAAGGGCAACAGTGGCACTTCAAAGAAACTGACAGGCAGGACCAGTCCCTAGACCGGTTGTAAGAAAGAAGGCAGTTGGGAGCTGGTTGCGGTTGGTAGGGCAGTGCCCTAGTGGCCTAATAGATCAGCGCCCACTGCCTTCTCTGTCTTCCAGCCCTCATGGGTTGGGTACGTTGGGGAAATATCTAAATCCCCAAATACTACTCTCCACCAGTTACTCCTATGCCGCTGTCCTACTTCCCCAATTCCTCCGAGGCTTATAATCCACCAGCAATAGTCTGGAGGATTGGAGCCTCTTAGCCCCACCCTTTATTTATTTATTTATTTATTTATTTAATTGAATTTATATACCGCCGTCTCAGGGCAGTTCACCCTTATCTACCTGTAGCCCATCCTGGCTGATTACTGGCTGGGCTACTCATGAGCAAGCAACCAGTTTAACAACTTCTTTGCCACAGGAGCTTTAGCAACTGCTGGTGTTTGGAATCTGGGAAGGAAATAATACCTCTTGCCAGGATATCATAGAGAAGGTTTTTTCTCTCCTTGCCTAAGGGCAGGCTGGTGCTCAGCTGACCTGGGAAGTACCCTCACATGCCCTAGCTCTTACATGTTGAAGCTTTAGTGACATATTGGAACATGGGAAGTTACTGGACTATCTAGCTCAGTTTGGCTACACTGATTGGCAGCAGCTCCTCAGGGTTTCAGGCCGAAGCTATTTTCAGCCCTACCTGGGAAATAAGGATTGAACTTGGTGTCTTCTTCATGCAAAGCAGATGCTACACCACTGAGCTATGGCCCATCCCCTGTTGTTGGGTTTACTGGCAGCTAATCATGATGACAAATGGTGTGAACTATGCAAAGAGTTTTAATATTTATCTTGGTTAGGTATATCTTATTGACATAAGGGCAGCTCCCATATTTCTTATTTCTATAGACAAGCCATTTATCAGCCAGCCTTTGTCTAAATGGTGGAGGGAGATTAAAGGGCTAGAGCTGCTTATTCAGCCAACCTGTAATCATATCTGCTTCTCTAACATAAATAAATTATGAGAAAGTTGAATGAACTTATTTATTGAAGTTGCTCTAGCGATCAGAACCTGACTACCTGCAGTTGTCTGAATAATACAGTTTTGCTGGATTTCCAGTTGAGTGATTACCACCTGTCCTCATGCAATTCTGCAAACAGGCTGAAGTTTCTTTCTGATAGATTCTTGCCCACCTCTAGCTAATTATCTCTACTTGCATTTTGTTCCTACTGAGAATGCAAGAATGTCCTCTCGTGTTTCTTTCTGAACTCCATATTGACCTGGATCCTCTGATTATTATGGATCCTTTTAGAGGAACCATAGTACATGGGAGCTCTGGTTGGGGCTCAACTAAGGTTACCTCCCTTCCTGCATGATGCAACCACCACGTCTTTTCTCTTGCAAGAGTGGCACCTCCCTAGTCCACCCTTCCTCCTTTCTTCTTCACCCCGCTATTGTTGGGTTTACTGGTAGCATGCTAATTATCATGCAAACACTTAGGCTTGGCCTGATTCAATTACCACTCATGAACAATTGAACAGAGGAAAGAACTCCTTGAAGTTCTTACTCTACCTCTAGACCTTGAGGTACCAAGCATTATTTGAGACATCAGTCACCAACTCCAGAAGCAGCACCTATTGGTCTGGCCTAGTATGACAGATAGCAAGATCAGATTGTAGATTAAAAGCGCCATAGGAAGGCCTATGCATTTGTATAATGTGTAAATGTACTGAGAATGAAATGGGGGGGGGGGTAGAATAGAAGATGGAATGCTGATAAACCTTGCAACTTTTCAAATTAATTTGTTCCTTTATAATGAACCAAGCTTGTTGTAAAATATCATTAATATTGAAGGGCAAGATTTGCAAATATCAATATAAGATTCACTTTAGCAGCGTACAACAGAATTCTCCACCCATTGCCTATTGCCCACTAAGAACTGCTGCCATGCAACCTTAATTCATTTCAGTAAGGCTTGTATGGGTGAACCCGCATGCTTTGCACAAGCTGTTGTTGTTTGCACATATTGGCACATCCCTAGAGCTACTGCACATCTTCATATTCAAGGTTATAGCTGGACCAGCAAGCGCAGAAACTTGCAGTGAAGTATGCCAATCACACAGTGAGTGGTAGCACAATAATTAAACAAGTAGTGATATCTCTGTTTTCAAGTAGGCAGTCGCAGCTAATTCCTGAACAGCTGTGAACTGGGAAAGAAATTGCCCCCAGTTTTCTGGGCAAATCTGCTTGGGTGTTCTCCTGTTTCCAGAAAAAGGAGATCTTTTTGCTGTACTATAATGATTCTACTTACCATGATGGAAAACAGCCTTGGCTATATAGGTTGCATGGCATAACATGTGATGCAGATGAATCCATGATGATGATCACAAGATGGTGGTAGAATTCCATGGTGAAGACACATGAATAGGAAGAATGGGAAATGAAGAAAGAAAGAGGAAGAATGACATGGTGGTGAAATGAAGAAATAATTGTTCACAATAGTAACAATGAGTGTGAGACTACTCCTTAAAATTCACCTGGCTTTACAGTTAACTAAACTGCTGTTTCATGAGAAATATGTTTTATTATCTTATATCCTTCTTTCCTTCACATAAGCCTATGTGAAGTGAATGTGATTTGCTTAAAAATACTAGAATATTTGACACTGAAAGCTTTGGCCTGCACACTCCTAAATGTTTAGGAGCAGGCAATGCTTTCAGAAACAAGTACAATATTGGAAGTACACCCTGGACTAGAGAGAGACAGCTATTCTATCTGGTTAAAATATGTGTAAGCAACATAATCTATGTAACCAGCATTTTACTGTTGCCAAACCCTAGCAGGCAGTACCATAAGTAACATTTGCTGTATGAGATTGTGCTTTTGAAATGATTTCTGCCATTTATTATTATTAAATGAAACGTATTAAGAATTAATTATATTTAGAAAGTTCTTTCTTTCTTTCTTTCTTTCTTTCTTTCTTTCTTTCTTTCTTTCTTTCTTTCTTTCACTAAAGACTGCCTGTGTTTTTCTACTTTTAGCTTACATTGCTGTTATGTTTCAAAAATTATCTCCAAGATACAGAGGACTGGAATGGAAGGAATAAAGTTTCGTAATTTTAAGAGCTCATAGACAAAGCGACACTTGCTCAGAGTGCATGTGATCCACAGACCACAAGTTACCCACATTGCTGTTTTAGACACTGTACCACAGGCTTTTAGGGGTCTTAACACTGACACCCTTCCCTGCACGTTCCAAGCAAAGTGCATGTAGATGAAAGAACTGGCCCACTGCTTCAGCAAATAGTTGTTAGTAGTCTTCCATCCACCTCATGGGATACCCCAACACAGACCACATATATGAGCTGACACAGTTGACAGTGTTATTAAACCTTGCCAGTATATTCCAGGGTGTCTCAATAAAGGTGAAATGGAAGCTGGCGAATAGATTCTCAGTGCCAACAGGGTGACAATGTCTCTGGATTGTGCTAAATTGCATTCGTATGTGTGATTCCTTCATCCAAGCCCAGTGGCTGCAAAATTGTGTGTGCTGTGAGCTGGCTGCATTCCCATATACTCACCATCTGCCAAATTGTCTGTGTGCCAGAAGCCAGATATGTTGAACTCCAGAAAGAATCTGTCAAAAGACGGGGGGGGGGGGAGGGAGAAAAAGATGTATTTTATGCTAGCCTGGAAGGGCAAAGGTGTTACGCAGGCAGACAGTCCCTGTGATTTGCTCTACTCTGAGCTTTTAGTCTGCAGCAGCAGCCTAGAACTTGCCTTGCGGTTTCTTTTTAGTTCACACCTGAGCCAGTTACTTTAAATCTTCCTTTGTTACTTTTCAGAATGGTTAATTGTGCCTTAATCCTACAATAAATTACTAGCAATTCCTGTGGCAAGGCTGTCATTAACACTGTGCTCCTTGTGGCTGGGAGGGAAATATACTCGGTCACCTTGAAAGCCATCTGCTCGGCAACGGTGGACGCTGGTATTCAGTGCCCAGCGACAGCTGTGGAGTGTGCCTAGCAAGTTAATCTCTATGAAGAATCTTGGAATATGGCCCTTGTCTCAAGTTCAAAGGTGTTTGAATCTAACACTTCAGTCTCTGCCTAGTATAATCATTGATCTCCACTGCACTACCAAGGAGGCGCTGCTGGTAGTCCCTTCATTGAGTACTTTCTAAGGTGGGGGGCAGAACACACAGTAAAGCCTTCTTGGTGGTGGCTTCCCATTTATGCAACTCCTTCCCACTGCATGTTTGGTTGTCTTCCACTTTCTGTTTATTCATATGGCAGCTTAAAACATTATCTATTGTTACAGGCTTACAAAACATAGCAGCAGAAGCCTTGTTTGTTAAGCTCTACTGCGCTGACGACTTTTAAATGTTGTTTAATGGTATTTTATGGTTATATTTTTGTTCAGTTTATTTTTAATAGCCATTTGCTGGGTGTGTTTATTTATTTTTTAATGTGCTGACAGCCATTCCAAGTTCTACATGAGGGGGAGCATGGTATCTACAACCTATGTTGGAAAACTGCTTGTTCTCTATATATTTGGACGCCTTAATAAATCATAACCAAATTAAGCATGATCAAAGGCCAGGTTTTAACCTATGTTTGTATGCAGTTGGGCCTCATTTTGAATCAAGATGGAAAACCAAACCTTTCAAAGGTGCACTGTGTTAGTCACTGATCACAAAACGATGCCAATTTTTTGGGTTTCTGAGAACTTCCGAGCAATGCTGGGTATGAGGTTGTTAGTAACAAATATATTAATAAAATATCAAATGTACTCATGAATCTGCCTTTCTTCCTGAAGCCCCACCTCCCACAATGTGTCACCTTGGCAGAGATGACAAGTTAGGTCTACTCCATTAACATATTTTCCTAATAGGAACAGGATTGTCCCTCCTCTATGTTTTCAACAGAGCAAATTATTCAAGTTCATTAGAATTTGAGAAGGGAAGGGTAAGCCTGTCACTTGTTGATTTACCTCCATATAGATACTCACAGATATTTTGTTGATTTACATCCACGTAGTAGAACATAAAAGTGTTAATGTTAGTGACATTGGCTCACAAACACACAAAACTCTTCCCCAGGGAAAAATGTATCATTGCTGTGCCTGCCTTCTTCTGTTTATGATATCTGAGTTCCTGCTCCCCAGTGCAGCTTCTTTCCCACACTTAACAGCCTTAATAAGCAGGTTTGCATATTATGGACTTCCACTTGAAATCAGGAACTCTGGACCCCTTTACTGGCCCTGTTATATATGTTGTACTGCTACGATTTTGTACGAATCAGTTCCCCATGTTTTCACAACTGGAAGGTGCAAATAATTAAACTGCCTACTTGATAATGCTGCTGGAAGCCTCTTGGGTACCACAGGAATGAAGGCATGACACAAATGCCTCTGCTTCATACGATGGCAGGATTTTTCCTCTTAGAGCTCTAATGCACTAATCCCATGTGTGTGATGCTTGCAAATCACATGGCTTGTATGCACAAGCCATTCTCCTTCTTCATGTAGTCTTTATCTCGAACTGGGGAATTTTCAAGGTCAGCACAAGCAGCAAACTCCACCCAAGAAAAAGATGCAGAAACATGGTAGCATCTTCTGTGGTGTGCGTGTGTGTCTGTTTCCTGTGCTTCTTGTATTTGTGCTACAAAGCATTGAACCAGAAGTGAAGGAGGCTCACATGCAGATATTCTCTTACTAAAATAGGGCCCAGATGTTTTATTAAACAGGCCCAGTGGCACAATTTTGTCTCTGTTCATGTGACTCATCTGACACTTCCATCCTATGAACCGAAATCTCCCTTTTACCTGATTATTCCATTGTGATGCACTGGCTTTGGTACTCATTGCTACAACAGGGGTGGGAGTTAAATACATTTCTACAACGCAAATCTGTATTGGATTTACAGGCATTGTCTCCCCAAAATAACTCTGGAAGTTATCTTGCTGGGAACTCTGTAAATGACTCCTAACCTTTCAAAGAATTATAGTTCCCTAGGGAGAGGGAATGACTATTAAAACAAGTTTGTGGCTGCAGACACACTAACCCATTTGCTGCACAAAAATGTAGTTTTTCTCAGTCTGGAATGGTTCATGCTTATGCTCAACATGCTGCTTTCAATACCTGGGATAGCTCAGTCAGTAGAGCATGAGACTCTTAATCTCAGGATTGTGGGGTCAGACACCATGTTAGGCAAAAGATTCCAGCATTGTAGGGGGTTGGACTAGATGATCTTTGTGGTTCCTTCCAACCCTACATTTCTATGATTCTAGGTTGATTTAATTTCCTGCTGGCCACAAGGGTAGATGTGGTTACTTGGTATACATCTGAAAACCCTCCATGCCCTTTCCTCCCTGCATATGTCCCAGATGAATGAAGAAGCAGTGATTGCAATTTTGGTATATCCCCACTCACAACATCATTGGAAATATGTGCATACACATACACAAACACACCACCATCTGTTTTCAAATGGACACACTGTGGGGTGATGCAGAATCAATATACAAGGAACTTTTATTTTCTGAATGAAACTGGTTTCTCAATAAGTGCTTTTCAGGGGCCAGAAATATGCAATACATGGTCCATATTGTGTGTGGACTACATAGAAAAAACAAGTACTCGTTCTCCATTGATTTTAGAATAAAATGTAGTATATAAGTAGTCTGCCTGTAGAAACAGGTGTGTCCTAAGTTTCATGGAACTGGAAATCCATTGATGTCTCTCAATTCTACATTTTGGAATAACAGGACTATTTATATAGTGACTGCAACTTCTCCAGCTTGTGCTTCTAAAAGTTAGGACTGTCAACTGCTTCAGGACTGTTTTGAATATTTTCTTGTTTATTCGCTATTATAGTCACATACCAGAATTTTAAAAAATGCTTGTGCCAGTAACATCAAGCCCCACCAATTTAAATTTCCTCATACCTATTAACAAACACAAGCATTAGTTGATTAATACACTGATGTAAATGTACTAAAGCTTGCAGTTATAGTTTCTACTTCTAATGATATTTCCCTCCAGAACTCCAAAATGTTTGTACTCACATGAGGAAGTCAGTTATCAGCCACTTTAGTGCTCCCAATAAGGCATAAACTGGCTGTTGAAAAAGAAGAAAGCCAAAGAAGAGGAGTATTTTACAGAGCCCACAATTCCAGAAGCCAATCTACAAATTAGGAGGCAGATTCTAAGAAGCAGCAATATGCATACAAGTCAGCCTACTACCAATAATAATTCTGAACCTCATCTTTGGAAAGGTCGGAAAGCTTATCGGGAATTCGCATGAGTCTTTGAAGACATAATTACTTAACTGGCTCTCTTCAACCGTAATAGCCTAAATAGCTCGTAGAAAGAAAGAGCTAAAGCTATTTATGCAACTAAAACTTTAGAAAACATTTTTGTTCTAATGGTGGAAAATAGTGTTTCCACTTCAAACTGTACACAAAAGCAAAACACCACACAAACCTTGTTAGTAGGAGTGCCTAATGCAACAAGGCCTCTAGCATATAAACTGGTAGGTGCTACACAATGCAGAACAATTTTAATATCAGGGGATTTCTAGTCCTCATGATCATGCTGAAAATGTGGATAGTCTCATCTGAAGGATTTAGGCAACTCTGCTTTGGAGCAAAGGTATTATTTTTCTTTTGTGGGAATATGACATACGAGGTATATTTGTATATCTTAATTCTAATATCATTCTCGACTAGTGTTGTATGAACTCAAACCTAATAAGGTCAAAGGTTCAGTCTGCATTTTTTGTTCTCTCCATTAGTGCTTTCTTCTTATAAACAACAATGGTGACGTTTCCAAGGATTACTTTTTTGTTTCATTCTGTCAGGCGAGCTATTTTCCAAACAGCAGGGAGAGGGAACCTGTGGCCCTCCAGATATTGGACTGGAGAAGACATGGGATTTTAGCTGTTATATTTCCAGTTTCTTCTCATGACCATCATTCCAACTCCCCCCCCCTTTTAAAAATGTCTGCTCATCTCCAGCTCTCCTCATAATTTGTTTATTTATATGATTTATGAGTTAATTTTCACGCTTTTGTACATGCTCAAAGCAACATTCAAAACATTTCTTAAAGCACCTCATTAAAGTTATATAAACAAACAGACATGACAGAGTGAGATTCATAAAACGATGAATGAATTAATGATGAAAGCTATTGGAGTGATATCCTTGTCTTTTGACAAAAAGGTACCAAAACATAATTTTAAAAGAAACGATGAGTTACTCAACCAAATTAGGTATGCCTCATTTGCATAGTTTTATTGTAAAAACCCAATTTGAATGTTTTGGTTTTAGAATTTGGAGGGTTTTCTGTAGCGTTTTAAGATCCCTTTGGCCAAGTGCTTGTCAGGTGGAGTGGCAAGATCAGAAGAGCAAGGATGGGCTAGATGAACCTTAGCAGGAACCAAGGTCAAACATTTTGCTGCTCTAACCAGACACAAGCCACATCAGGAAACTTTAATAAGTAGTAGGACCCCTCCAGATGGGTGGGTTTTTTTTGGGGGGGGCTATATTCTGTACTATGCCATTGACACAGTAAAACTGCATTAGTGGTGGGTTTATACTGGACCATCTACACATCATTCTGCTTTATTACTTGTTCTCTAATGCTTCCCCAGCGTTACCAAACATTACTGCTATCTGGATGAGCACTCTTGCACTATAGTGCAGCAAAAGCGAGACCCCGGAACACTTGTACTGTATTATAAAAAAGTTACAGCATTTCAATAGGAAACTATGGGACATGCACCAACAGGGAATGAAGCAGTATGTCCATCCCAAAACTTTTACCACAAACAGTATTGTAAATGGTATCGTGCATATAACCACCCCAATACAATGAGAAGCAGAAATAATTCTGGATGCACAATAAAAAAGATGTCTGAAGAAGCCTTTAGGCTTTGCCATATGATCAATTCTGACATTTTGATGTTTAAGAAAGGCTTGCCTTTACTGGGTTTCTTAGTTTTACTTGCTGGTGACAAGCTAAACCACTGCCTACCATATTCAATGTGCCAGGTTCAGTACCTGTGGTGAGCTTATATTGTTTTTATTCAGAGTTGAAAAAGCACTACATTTTCACATATCTACCCATCTCTCCTTCAAAGGACAAGGCTAAATTTCCTAAAGGACTAGAGCTAACATGGGTGATAAAAAGCCTTTTGATTTGCAGTACCAGTCCAACTGTAATTAGTGAGTGTTTCCCTATTTAGTTAATACAAATTTAATTATGTAATGCCAGATACAACTACTTAGTTAATCCAACTCTAACAAACAAATCCTATTCTGATCAATTAAAGGTGCCACAACCTGAAACTTTCCTGGCACAGAACCAGTAGACAGCAACAATTTCATGTAGCCAAAATTGGCCCCAGAGTGCTCCAATGCAGGATTAATTCAGAGTTCATTTTGATTACTGGTGAAAGATGCAGCAGGCATAAATTGAGATGGGGGGGGGGGAGAAAAGGAAGGAAAAGTTCAGCAACTTTCCATCCCTAGAATGCATTGTTTCTGGTATCTTCCATCTTTTCCAAATTAATACACATGTACTGCTATTTGGTCAATACATGTAGCATGAAACAGATCCCAGGATCAATTGCAGAATGATGGGTCAATTTTTACCTGTGCCTTTCCCCACTGAATTTTGGAATTGTTTTGCTTGGTCTGCTGACTCCAGCTAAATGCATGTGTGAAACAGAGTGGAAATTACTTACTTTGGGAAAGGAAAATCGGAGACGGCTAATTGGTTGCTGGATCAGAAATATATTCTCACTATGCAAGTGCCACATTTTTCTGAGCACATAGGCTGTAGGTGAAGGACAAAAAGTGGCAATGGGAATCTACTGTTTGCCTGTGGTGTCCAGCTCTTTTGTGAAACCTTGAGTGTCCCTTCTCACAGAATAGAAGCACTCTGGACTTGGATGTTTTAAAAAATGACCACCAAAAGGGTTTTAATCATCATCTTTGTTGTGACACCAGCAAAAAGGTTTTTCACTAACCAGGAAATCTCCTGTCCTGTAATAAACAATTAAAATCCCCTTCCCAGTCTGCCTTCACTGGCGTCATCAGATGAGTGACGTAATTGTGTCCAGCCCCCACAATCAGAGTACATGGAGAAGAGGACATGAGGGCAGACGTGCCTTGGCTTCTTCTTCTGTCCTTGCATAGTCCTCAAATAAGAGCACAGGAAAAGCAATCAGGCTTGTAGCAAAGACAAGGATGATAAGCATGATTCCGCCCTCAGTGTAATCAGCAGGGGAAGCAAAGGCACTTCTGCCCTCACAGCGCTCTCTCCTGCACCCCATGCCTGGCAATGATGGCGAGGCATGGGATGGTCTCACCCTGGAGCAGAATGACTTAAAGAACTGGACCAATGCTGTTCTAAAATATTTTATTCCGTGTTTTATGTATTATGTAGAAACGCTTACAGATACTTACACTGAGAAGAGGGCGCGCACCGCTATGGTGGTGGTGGGGCATTTTACACATGGCTTGGTAATCGTACATTTTCACCCTGCAAAAAAAACATTAAAAACTGACAAGCGGGCCCATGTGTTCAACACACCAGCTTAGCCCAAGAGTCCACCAGTCTGCCTAGCCCACTACTGTGCACTCTGACTGTACAGTGGTGCAACGGAACACTGTGGCGCCAGAAGCGGTTTAGTCATGCTGGCCACATGACTTGGAAATGCAAGCTCCTTCGGTCTGAAGCGAGATGAGCACCACAGTCCACAGTCGCCTTTGTCTGGACTTAACTGTCCAGGGGTCCTTTACCTTTTAAAATTCTGATTGAAGGTGACTTTCAAAGGTCTAGCAGTAGTTTTGCTCAGGTCTGCTATGTGAGATTTTTAGTGGACATGCCAGGAACTGCATCTGAGATTTTCTGCATGCAAAACATGTGCTCTGTCACATGCCCTTTGCTCAACATAGCTGCAGACGCGTTCATTTGTCCTGCATGAATTCTAGCCTGGATCTGTCTTCACACAGGGAACAGCCATATATCCTCATCCTAATAATTTAGTTTAGTTTGTGCTTAGCATTGGATGTTTCACAACAAGATCTACTCCCATACAGTGTTTGATTGACTATGTGGTATCTGACGAAGAAACTTCTTACTGATGTCACAATATGCCCCTACCCTATGAAAACTTTGTATGTGATTTACTCGAGTTACCTCAGCTGCTATTTTTACTCGCACCAAGGTCCTGAAAGCTGCTTCTGGGCAGCTTAGTGCTCTTCCAGACACATCTGGCTGGGCTCTCAGATTTCTTTATGCCATTTGTGTCTGACTCTCCATCCCTCTGTATGCTACATCAGCAACATGGGAACTGCTTCGGAACACATGGACATAGGAAACTCCTTTACACCATGTCAGATCATTTTGCTCATCATTGTCTGCACTGACTGGCAACAGCTCTCCAGAGTTTTTACACATAGGTTTTCACCAGAGAAGCCAGGGGTTTAACCTAGAACCTTTGCATACGAAATGTGCTCTACCGATGAGATGCAGATAATGTTTGAAAGCCTATGCCCTGTACTATGCTGTACAGGGAAACATCAGATGGGAATAGCAAACACAGTTAGCTTTGCTCACATGGTCCTGGGCTCCCATGCTGTTCTGGTAACATGTAAGGGCCACCAAGTCAGGAACATAAATGGCCTAGATGAAGCCACATGAAATTGTATTGCTACACAGTAATGTAATGTAACTTCTGACATTAAAAAAAGGATATGTGCCTGTATTTTTGTGCATTTGTTTGTTTGTCATCTTTCAACATGCATTCTTAGAACACAAGCAGGGAAATGAAAATAGGTAACATTTTGCATTCATTCACGTTGTGCACAAACTGTGTGACAGTGGATATAATCAGGAGTGATTCCTGTTACTGCAGCAATGCTTTTTTTGGCTGCTGCAATCATAGAATCAGTACTGGCTGCACCCATTATTATGCAGTTCACACATTATATTTGCCTATGTGAGCATGTACCTGGAGATGCTTGAATCTTTCTATGGATAACAAATGTGAACAAGTCCTAACAACTGAGGCAATATTCCACACCCCACTGTCTTCATTCTCTTTTTTAATGTTTAGCTGTGATAATTCTCAATGGGGATAAGGCATTTTGCTTCAACCAGGCTCTTCTCTGAAAGGAAATCAATACAGAGGAGATAGTAATACTTACTGTTTGAACATTCCCATGCTTATAAGCTGGGTCATAACAGAGCCATCCACTTCTCCCAAAAATTTGCTGGTCTGCAAGCACAGGGAGATAAAGAGAGAAAAAAGCAGAAACTATAGATAAACCTCCTCAGCTTTTTATCAGTCCAGCTAATCCATCCCCACTACAAGTTTGAAATCCTATACTTAATATTGCCACTATCATAAAACAAGCCCTTTAAGCAGACGGTGCTCTGCTATGTCCTCAGGCTGTTTAGCAAAGAGGGGTTTAGAGAAGTGTGTGGTGCCATGGTCAATAAAAATGAAATGCAAATCTTGGCTCAGCCATGCACTCACCAGGTGGTCACCAGGTGAAGTCATCATTTCTCAGCTTATCATATAAACTATGGGGATAGTAATACAGTACAGGCGTATTATATGGTATGTTGTTGTAAGGATGAAGCAGTGCCCACTATCCATGAAGACAGTGGGTTCCGACGAGATCTTGATGAGATCTCGCAAGGTTTTGGTGAGATCTCGCTGGAAGCTGCCACTGCTGCTTCTCCGCCACTGGCAGTGGTGGCGGGGTGAGCAGGGTGCCTGCAATGGGTGCCACCTCTTGGACTTCTGCCGCCTTAGGCAGCTGCCTCAACCCACCTCATGGGCAAGCCGGCCCTGGCTGGAATGTAGCCTATTGTGCAAGAGACACTTTCATTGCTGCACCCACTATTACCTCTAGGCCTGTCCAATGCTGGCATGCAGCCTCTAGAAAGTTGACCATGAGGTAATGTGGCCTGGCTTAAAAGAAGATAAAACTCAACCCTGAGTTCTTTATTGGAAAGGCAGGGTGCAATTATAGTTAATAAATATAATTATCTTGGGAGATTCACAAATTTGCACGAAGGCTAAAAAGTGATTAGTGCACGTATTCACTGTTCTTTTGGGGGAAAACCTGAAGTCCCCTTGCTTAAGCCTTAACAAAAGAAATCTGCAAACTTGTCCAATTTGCTCCTCCCTGCCCCCCAGCTCTATAAACAGGCTTTATAAGTAAGCACAGAAAACATCTTACCTGTTTGGAGGCTTTGGAAACGAGTATGAATCCATTATTATCAATGAGAAAGCAGTTCAGATTCTGAAGAGAAAAAAAGAATGAAGGAATTTCAGCTATAGAGAAGACAATACTGCCTAGTATGAAAGCTTCTGCCTTACCCTGTGAGCTGCTATGATTCTGCTCCCACAGTTCTAGTGGTCTTATGTAAGGCATTACCGTTAACTCTGCCCGGCTCCCACCACTGGCTTTTGAATCCATGTACACACAATGTTACCCACAACAGAGAGCTAACCGCTTAGAGATTTCTAAACTTAATTTTATTGTTTTACAATCAAGCAGTATATAAAATTTGTTAAATAAATCAGATAAATCCTGTAGTTTCCTGAGAAATACGACTGTTTCCCCATAGACTGCCATTAATCTGAAAGGAAACTTATGCCACATTCGTTTTGCAATTAAGTTGAGCTGTGTACACTTGAGACATCTATTATTATTATTTATTAAATTTGCATATCGTCATATACCCATAGATCTCAGGGCAATTACAATATAAAAAGCACAAAATACATAACAAAAACTAAAAGCAGCCCAATAATCTCCCCCTATTGCGCATGCACAGATGAGTTTCATGAATAGGCGCTTGGGGAAGTGCTATAGGGGCAGGTCTTCACGTTGGGTGGAGACATCCCTGTCCCCTCTGTGGTGTGTACAACAATCAGCAAATGTGACTTGACATGCAGTGTGTGTGGGTGTGTGCCTGGGGAATGTCCTTGCTGTGTTTTAAGCTGCTAATGTGTACATCACCTAAGACTCTCTGATGTTTTGTTATTTCTGTGCTTGCTTACAAGTTTCCTGAATTTGATATCAGAGTACTGGTTGTACTTTTGCACTACTATTGTAGGCTTACACTCCATACTGTTTCCCCCCAAAAGTAAAGCATATTTGGGGGCTCATGCGAGGCTATCCAAGAATCCTGTTCCATTTGGCTTCATAGAGCTCATGCAGTTCTGTCTAGACTCTGTAGCATTCTTTGTAGCGTCTTTGGGGCAAAGTAAACACAGCGGTGTACTGCAAGGTACAAGTCCGGTAACTCATTAAAAAAGCAACTGCAGGCTAGAGAAATGAAGTAGATGTTTTTCTTAAAATCTCTAGCTTTCTCCATAGTCCAGCACATGTTTGCAGTTTGGTCTCAGGTTCCTCTGCCCCTTCGAAATCCAGCTTGCACTTCTGGGAGTTCTCGGTCCACATACTGCTTAAGCCTGAATGAACACTATATTCACATGCTTATCTTCATAATTAGTCATAGCTGTGGTTCTCACAATGTTTTCATAACAATTAATTAAACCTAATGACACTCTCAAGACACTACTGATATTTGGGAATAATATGGGGTACTGCAATTCTATAAGCTTTCTAAATGGATTCTAGAATTATTATGAAAGTCAAAGTCCTTCCAGTCCACATAAAACCCTCAAGAGCTTTTCACATGCCATTTTTCAGAGCCACATTGTCTTATCAGAAACTTCAAAGATGGATTTTTAAGGCTTCTTGCCTTGAGTGCTGGACTGTAACTGAGGAAACAAGAGGTTCAGATCCTTGTTTAGCTATGAAGTTTGCTAGGTAACCCTGGGTCAGTTTCCCACCCCACCCCTCATTCTAACATACCATGGAGACTAAAAGAGAATGAACCATATGCACCTTTGCATTTCTTGAGGAAAGGATGGGCTAAGAATGCAATAAAAACTAATGCATTTTCTTTTTCTCACATTTTAAACAGCTCTGAGAGGTTAGGCTGATTAGTGGCCAGTAAATAATTTACATATATAGAGCCACCTGGGTTCAAATTCTGGCTAGGGACCAAACGGGATATGATGAGGCTGTAGTTTATCCACATCCCTACTTCATGGGGATCAGGTCTATCATTTACATGGGTAAAACATGTGTAGAGGAAAGTGGAAACCTGATCTTCCTGCCCATCTTATCTCTCTGCGCTCTTCCGCTTTACTCAATTTGTCCAGCTCATGTCTGGTGTCAAAAATGAACTAGGAGAAAACTGCTTAAAGAACAGAACACAGGAAGTTTTTCTCTCTTCCCCCTTGCAAGGAATAGACCCACCCACTTTATTTCTGACGGTTGCCCTACCATGTCTGGTTTGGATCTCAGGCAAAGAGAATGGCCCTCAGCAATGAACCATCTCTTTCCCCCATCTGTAAAAAACAAACACTAGCCAGGCAAATAAAAAGCAACAGGGGAATAATAATGATCCTGAGTCACAGAACCCTCAAGTTACATTTCCTCAATTATAGATCTGAACAATTTTTTTAAAAAAAATAAAAATAAAACTAGCAACTTACGTCATTCTGACAGTTCAAGGGACACAGACCATCCACATCACTGCACTGGAATACAAGAGGAGGAGTTAAATAGTGTCTCACTTTAGACTGCATTTACCTGGGCATCATTAGGTATTTTTACAGGAGTAAGGAGCAGGCATGTCTAATTCAGGCAATATTTGCACATCATATGCTGGTGTGTTACATCCCCTTCAGCTTTCTCCACAAGAAGGATCATTTTAAGTAAGCCTATGAAAGAAGTGTCCCAGTGGTCCTTTCAGCTCAGCTTCCTAGAGTGGCAGTTGTTCTTTATGTGAATGTGGTTATGCTGTATTTTATCTTAAATTGGATTAAGCTACTTCACCATGCCTTGTTCACCATGACTTTTCTGAAATGTTTCCAACTGAGACATACATATGCAGCTGTACAAGCAACATGAGCCCAGGAGTTTGGAACAAATGCCACTCCCTGGTGCTTGCTTCTTATGTGTTAGATACATGTTTGTTACTTCATATTCTGTGTTCAGTGTGGAATGATGACTATTTGGTGCATCAAAGCAAATTTCAGTGTAGGTAAACATGACAGAACCAGAAGCCCTTGATAGTAATAGTAAAGATTGTTACACAATGGAGAAAGGAGTGACAATGTTCACTGCCTCTGGTTTTCTGGTAACAGTTTGACAAATGATATATGAACATTGTATAGTGTCCTCAGGCACTGTCCATTTGCTTCAGTTGGAGATCTGCAGCGAACCAAAGTTGACATGTGTCACAGCACTGAACCTAACAATACATGGAGGGTTAAATGGTGAGTAAGAAAATATTGTTGGTGCCTGTGGGTTTCATAATTATCATTCATTCTGTGCTTACTGATTTGTCCAGTACAATTCTTCCATGTGTGTTTCCTGCCATGTGTTGGATGATCAATCTGTTGTTGGAAATTACTGGAGGAATATGTTGTGAGGGGTTGCGTAAACTGTGAGTTTTATGTTGGTTGGAAGATTTTAGCATGCTACACATTAGTTTGTTATTACCTTATCTTATGGTTATTATGGCTATGGATATTGCATGTTTATGTATTTGAATATTTCTTAATGTGAATCTTCTGAAAGTTGGCTTCTTGTCCATGTATGTATTTAGATGTATTTGGATTTTTGGTATTGCAAACTGCTTCAAGTTCTGTGGATACTAAGGAGTCTATAAAAAGGTAAAGGATCCCTAACAAGTAAGTCCAGTTGCGAACGACTCTGGGGTTGCGGCGCTCATCTCACTTTACTGGCCAAGGGAGCTGGCGTTTGTCCACAGACAGTTTTTCCGGGTCATGTGGACAGCATGACTAAGCCGCTTCTGGCGAAACCAGAGCAGCACACGGAAACGCTGTTTATAGAGGACCTAAATCAGGGGTGGGGAACCTTCAAACTGTGAGGCCTCCCAGTGAAGGAAGTTTGGAACATGAATCAATTTTTCAAAAACAAACAAACACCCAAAACCATGCCCATCTGCCAATCAACTGATGTCATTTCAGTTGATGGGCAGGGGTGGGGGGTTGATTCTATGTTAGCTGTTCCCCTGCTATCAAATAGTATGCACTGCAGAAGCAGCAGGTTTTAGCCTTCTCTCATCAGCTGATAAGCAGGGATTAAATCCTGCTCAGTTTGGCTGCATGAATCAATTCCCCTTCTGGGAAGAGCCACATGCAACCAATGCACAGCATGGGGCTGTTTGAAAGTCCCTTTGCAAGCAGCTCCACACTGTTCTTTGAACCTCCTTTGCACACTTACTGTATACAAAGCAGCAGGTTTTAACTCCTGTTCATCAGGCATAAAAAGGTAAAGGGACCCCTGACCATTAGGTCCAGTTGCGGATGACTCTGAGGTCGCGGCGCTCATCTCGAGGGGGTTAAATCCTGCTCAGCTTGGCTGCATTCACCAAGATCCCCTGCTGGGAATAGATGCACATGACCAAAGTGCAACATGGAGCTGTTTGACAGCCCCTTTGCAAGCAGCCCCACTCTGTTCTTTGAACCCCCAGTTTTTGAACATTTAAAGAACAGCTCAGGGCTGCTTAAAAAAGGGCTTTCAATCAGCTTATGCTGCCCTTTGAAGTCCCAACAACTGGGGCTATCACAGTGACATCAGGCTTGACAGGAGGATGGTTCTGCCAAATTGTCAAATCTGGCCAGCAGAGGTGGGGAAATAATATCTGCCTGTCAGCTACAAAAGGTTCCATATTCCTGCACTAAATAAATAGATCTGTCTTTTTCACTTTTCTATTTATTTATTTTAACAGAGGACTGTTATTATCTAAGATGCACAAGGGAGAAACTGATGAAAATGTTGTCTTTTTATTAAAGAACAACAATAATTGAAGAAATCATGGAGCTTCTTAATGTGGATCAGCCATTTTTTAAAACAGGCACATTAGCCCAGGAATCACATGCCTGCTCTGTGGTTAATGGAACAGATTGGGAAAATCTGTCAATAAAAGTACTGCCAAAGGCGCCCTATTGCTGTCAATCAAACCAGCAAGTGTGAAGACACATAGATGATTGAGTGATAATCACTGTGATTTAATGGGAGAGCTCCATTTTCTTTCTTTTGACCCAATTAAGACATAGAGGAAAGGGAGTGTCTGACAGTGTCTATCTCCCCAAAGCTGCTTACTCCTCCATCAGGAGGCCAAATCCCAGTTAAAATGTATTTTATTAGTAAATGAGCACTGTCCCCCAATTTTACAGAAGGGACACCAAAAAAGAAATAGACTGAAATTTTCTTATATGAATTGCTATATAAACCGGGAACACTGAAATATCCACAGAAGTATTTATTGTTATGAGTTTGCGTGGTCAGGTGGAGTCCCCCAAACCTTGGGTGGCCCCCATGTGGAAACCATGGTGCCTCATTTCCAAAAGGAAACATGGGTAAGCACCTGGAACCTCGCACCGCTTGGAGATTGAGGTGTTGCGCAGCTCTATTGTAGAAGACTGGGAGAGGGTAGAAGTAGCAACCCCTTAAAAAAAATAGCAGGCTATTTAAAGGTGGAGAAAAGAGCCCTGTCAGCTCTGGTTCATTGTGCCTGTGGCAAAGATTCTGCCATATGTTTCTATTAAATATAGACATTTTCTTGATTTGTACTAGATAAAATAAGCTGTCATCCTGACTGTAACTTTCTTTATTGCCTTGTCATTGTGCATTAGAGCAAGAGGTTATGGCACCCTGACAGCTAATTTGAGATGTAGATTCAACTCAGCACCAACTGAATCCCATTCTTTGATTAAGCTGCACAATCCTGTCAGACAGGAATGCAAATATTTCCTGGAGACAAGAACTGATTGTGATAATCAGATTCCCACTAGTCTGTTTACCCTTCCAGGGCCCACCTGCATATTAATTAAGCTGGTAGGCTGTAGAAATTCCATTAAACGCTTCTGATTGGCTTTGCATCATATGGAGTGTCATCTATCACAAATACAATCTCTCTTTTTTTTCCATATTAAGAAGATAGTTCTCCTAGGTGTAGACTGACATCCTGAAAGGGGGGCAGGGGTTGGGGTAGGCAAATTCTTTTTCACTTAAAAAAAAAATCTTCTCCACCTGGTCTTCTGGAAGCAATGTCTACTCTCCACAGGCAACTAAGCTGATTAGTTGTGCCCCAGCCTCCACTGGGACAAAAAAGCAACCAGATGGAATACATTCTGGAGAAACAGATCGGTATTCTGTTCTTAGAAGCCATGTCTTAGAAAGTGGGCTAAATCCCTAACTCTGGAAAGATCAAACTTCACCTGATGATACAGCAACAAGGCTAGTAACTGTTGTGAACTTATTTGCAAAGTTGTTTAGAAGTTGCACAGGACTGAATCAGACTGTGAGCTCAACTGCATCAAAATCAAGGCTTTGTAACTCTAGCTGTTGCTCTAGGGCTGCTGGGGTGGAAAAGCTTAAATGTACTTATTCATGAAATATGTTAAAGCTCATCAGCCTCTGGTGACTTCATAGGTATCAAGCCATTTCTAAACCTTCAAACTTTTCCCATTATATGACTCAGACTCTTTAGTGCTTCTTGGAACTTACTTTGGTTTGTCTGCAATATTTAGGTACTCTACATATAAATGTATTCAACCCAACTCCTGACACACAAATGACACATAACTATCAACGTTTCATGAAGAACACACAGGAAGGGGCTTCTGGGAAATCTCTTGGCCTTCAAAGCTCCTTACTTACATCAGTGTCATTGGGCTGGAAGATGGTAAATGGAGCCATTGACACGCAGAGCATTGCAGAACATGGAAGGGAAGTGGAAAGAGGAGAGAAAATGTCCATTAGTAACTCCTTATTGAACCATTATTGACTGCCAGTGAACCAAGAGAAGGCTTCTTACACATGAATGGGTGCTGGAAACAGAGTCAGAAATGTGAGCAAGTTTCTTTTCAGCACCCTCAATCATCACTTTCTCATTCCCAGCTAAACTTTGTATAGCGTATAATACTGCATAACTGCACACATGTAAGGAGGCTGATAATGCCAAGTTCTTAAACTGAACTACTTATTTATGACACTTCCCCCTCTGGGAAGGAAGTTTTAGCCTCCATTTATTCTCAACTAGACAGTCATCTTTTGGGCCGGGGGGTGGGGTGGATCTAGTTCTCAATGTGCACCTTTCCCTCAAATGTCTGTGATTATGGGATGAATGTGCTTGTTGTGGTGGTTAATTTAATTTTTCCTGCATTCACCTTAAGGTCCCAGGGTGGGTTACAACAACCAAAAATACAACATTAAAAACAGTTTAAAATGACTTACAATCACAAACATGGGGTGGGTCCTAAAAATATACATCTCAGGTGTCAAATGCCAGTGTAAAAAAGGGAGTTCCACAACAGAAGCTGCCACAGAGAATGTCCTTTCCCAGGCTACCACCATTCCAAGCTTCTGGGGCAACGAAACTATCAAGAGGGGCCCCTCTTCCTATCTTAACACCCAATAGGATCTATAGGAAAGGAAGCAGTCTTCAGGTATTTGGGGATTTAAACACTGGTGTGGGCACATTAAATTAAGCCCTGAAGTGAACTGGCAGCAAATGCAACCAGTAGTACAGAAAGCGCTTACAACCACAGTACTATTAGATTGTATCAACAACACCCTTTCAAATTCAGCCTTAAGAAAATAGTTTGAGGCAGAAAGAATGGCCATCTAGATTAGGGGTAGACAACCTAAGGCCTGGGGGCCGGATGCGGCCCAATCACCTTCTAAATCCGGCCCGGAGACAGTACGGGAATAAAGCATGTTTTTACACCAGTAGAATGTGTGCTTTTATTTAAAATGCATCTCTAGGTTATTTGTGGGGCATAGGAATTTGTTCATTTCCCCCTCCAAAATATAGTCCGCCCCCCCACCCATGGTGGACTGGCCCACGGCTGAAAAAGGTTGCTGACCCCTTAAGCAGAGACAGCATGACGGAGTGCAGTGCAATCAGGATGGTAGAGGGGAGTCGGTAAACTTTCTGCCTAAAACGAAACAAGATTTTGAAGGTCTGAATCGGTACAAACATAATTCCACAATTAAATGTGTCAGCTGCAGTGGATTTAATGCCATGCCAGGCTTGTGACGTTCTGTTAACATGACGTTCTGAGAACAGACTGGCAGCTGATGCAGCATTGAAGTTGTCAAAGGATTAGCAAAACGTGTCATTTAAAAACTAATCTATTGCACCAATCTGTTTAATACACATTTTACAAAGGATTTTGTGGAAATGTGGCAAGTAAAACATCACCATATATCACCTTCTGTTTTTGTACTATACTTCAGCATTCTTACCTGCTGTGTAGCCATCCAAAACTTGCGCTGAAGAAATTCTAGTTTAATTTGCACACCCACAGCTATGGGGAAACAAAACAAGGATATTGCAGATAGGAGAGAGAGAGAAGAGAGAGAGAGAGAGAGAGAGAGAGAGAGAGAGAGAGAGAGAGAGATATGTTAGGGAAAGAAACTAAATATTTCCAAGCAGTCACCAGAAGAAATCACACCATTTCCAAGTGTAAATGACAGGTAAATGCTGAGTCAGAACATAAAGTGAGAGTCAGGGGTTTAACAAGGTGATGCAAACGGAAGCATCAACTGCTGTGTTGAAGTACAGACACCTGCCTCCCACTAAACACTACCAAGATACAACAGGCTGCCAAATCACTTTCCCCTTTGGTTGCTGCAGATTATAAAAGCCATCTGATATAATCATGATTCAAAAGTGCAACATAGGAAGACTCTTAGGCTGCAAACAGAAAATACAGTAATTCTTAAAGAGAGCTGAAAGTGGCAGGAGACAGGTATTGCTTCCCAAGTTCTCTACATGTGTTTTGTTTGTTCCAAAGAAGCCTTTAGTCCAAAATGTATAAAAACTCTGCAAAATCTTTTTACCAGAGGCAAAAGTACACAGTAGGAGCAGTGCTTGCATTTTCAAATTACCTTCAGTTCTTGGAGAGGGGAACCTTTCTCATCTGTTGTCTGCCTAAAGTCATCTCGTGTGTTCATGGCAGAGGTAAGATCTGAAACTGAGATCTTGGTTCACAGATAAGTCCCCTGGCCTTCATGTCACACTAGCCTCTTTACTCTTGGAATCTGATGCTGGAATGCAGCTTTGAAAGCGTGAAAACCATAGAGGAAAGAGTTCTGTGCTATGCATACACTGAACCTGGCAGCCAGCATCAGGGGCAGAGTACATCATTTTTGCTCTCGGAGCCATGGTGTCAGTGTCCTTCATGTCATGTTTCTACTGCTGGTACATCTTAGAGCATTCTTATAATAAAACGAATCTGACTGTTGTGGAATAAGGAAGGGAATTATTTCCTACAGCTGCCTTCTCCCTGAATTCCGGAACATGCACAACCAGACAAGACACAAGATTCATCTGGGTCCAAGTTGTAAAGATGTAATGGAAGTAGAAAAGATGAGACTGAATTTTTCTCTGGCATTATTGGCTAAATATTCATTGAGTTACCCTGAAGAGGCAGCAGTGAGGATCTTTACAGAATAATAAAAGGCAGGTTTCAGCCTGAGTGCTAAGCAGGAGCCAGCAAAGAAACACCAGAAGCCTGGACCCATGGGAAAGAATTGAGGAGCCTGGCTGGAGGTGAGAATAACCATGAGACATACTCTCCTGTCACTTTTACTGTGCAAATCTATACACTTTTACAGCCACTTTTACAGTGCACATCTATACATCCTGTGTTTCCTCAAAACACAGGAAGATAGAGAACTCCTTTGTACCTAATTCATCAAATTGTTCACTTAACTCAGAACTGTCTACTCTGACTAGTAGTGAATCTCCATATTATCATGGATAAAGATTGTACCTGTTCCTTATTTTTTTAATTGAAGTTTTTTTGTGGCAATTCTTGTAATAATACAAATAAAATGACATTAAAATAAAAGAATAAAATAAAAGGGAGATTTAAAATACAGAAGGGGGAAGTAGGTTGAGGTGTTTTAACCATTTAAACTGGAAATGCATCCACAGCAGTGACCAGAGGAGGAATGACCACTGAGAGGAGCACAGATAGAAGAAATACCATGGGGCATCTGCAGCAGCACAACCCGATGTCTTCATCTGCCCCAGCTGCAACAAAACACGTTTCTCCCATATGGATCTCTACAGCCACAGCAGGCGATGTAAGCTTCCAACAGTTTGACTTCATCCCCAAAAGTGCACTCCTACATTGTCTTCTGAAACAGACGGATGCCAACAACAATTCTACTACTATAGATCCATCCTCAGGGATCTATCATACCCCCAGTGGGCCTTATTCCCAGATAAATATGCACAGGACTGCAGCCTATGTCACTCCTGTGCCATTTCTCTTTTTTGACCCAGCATTGGTGAGGTGGATTGCAAAGGTAAGACAAAAGACAACCCAGTCTAAAATTATCAGCAGTTGCTATACTGGAGGGGTAGGACTTATTTATCCCCACTCTTTAATGGAGTGGGCTCACGTAACTCTCTCAGTAGTACAGTAAGGAAACTATCAAGTCTAAAAAATTAAAATTAAAATAAAACATTAACTTTAAAAATAGGCTTCAAGATGGCATAGGTATTTTGGTACAGGAAGGAATATATTATTCACCAGCAAAATCGTAGAAACAATAGGTGCATGCAACACAGCAACAATATTCAAAACAGCAGTGCTTATTGCTGTGGAGTTGCTTGTAAAAGGAATAATTACATTTCTCCAGGACCTGGTTCTAATCATTTTGAGGGCTGGGATACTGCAATCACCACCACCCTCCTCTTCTAATTTTACTAGTTCCTGAGCACTTCCCCATGAAAAACCCATATTATTTGGTAAGGACCTGCAACTAATATCCCTCTGGTGCTATTTGATGGGAAAACATCATAGGCTGTAAATGAGGCTGTTTGCAGATTTGGTTTAAAAGACATTCTGCCTTTGTACAGAGGGTAAATTCCCTGTTATCCCTTGAAACCATTTCAAGTGAGAACCATTTCCTTTATCACAACTAGATCATATCACTGGCCTGCAGCTTTCTTACAACTCTTGAGTGGATAATGCCAGAACAACAAACCTTGGAAGAACATGAAAGTACTAAGCATTTCATGTTTTCACCAGAAGAAATCTAAATCCTGGCAGATTGTGCAAAGGGAATGAAAAACATGGCAAAGAAGAATCTGTTTTCCATCCGTCCTACAGAATACACAAGTAAATCCCACTGCATTTAGTAATTAGCAGGAGGGTCAATACAATACAGTTATGTCAAAAGTGAAGATTACTAAGTAGTTAATATGCTTCATATCAGCAAATGGAGAAGGTAGATAAATGGTGGGGGGGACGGACAGGGAAGTTTGTGTGCAAGTGGAGTGGGAGTAGGAAGCAAGCCAAAGTTCAGGGCTAGCCATGTAGTACATTCTTGTACAGCAATTTGTACTCAAGCTACCGATACCAGATATGGCACTTGTCACTGTTCGGGCTGCATGCATTTATGCATAGGGTGCATGTGTAAGAGCATAGGAAAAACCATGCTGAATCACAGTGACAAACCAAATGCCAATGAGAAACCTGCAACCCAAAGCTGAGTGCAACAGCGTTCTCCCCACCTGTGATTCCCAGCAATTGGTATTCAATGGCCTATAACAGTAAGCTTCCCTTGGATTAAAAAGCAACTTACCATGTGGAAAGGAAGGCAGGAAGAAAGGAAGGTGTTCAAGAACACAGCGAAAAGCCCCTTTCAGTACACCAAACTAGCTACATGGATCCTAACCTATATTATACTGTATTAGTTCTCTATCACTTGCAGCTTGTCCTTCAAAAACATGCAGAAATGGAAGGGACACATCTTCTTTCCTAATCACAATTTTACGTAATTTAAAAAGGACACATTACGTAATTTAAAAGGGTATCTCTACCCAGGTAGAAATGTTTGTGAGAGAAGCCAGATATAGAAGGCCTCAGACCAGGGATATCCTGCTAGCAGCTTGTGGGCCAGATCAATCCCCAAAAGCAGTTTGGAACTTGACAGCCCTATGTAACTTAAATGACAACACGGGGCAACATTTGCCAAGGGTTGTAAGGAAAATGTTTTCAAAAGGTGTAAGTCTGAGAAATTGACATTTAAGTTCTCTGACTCACATTTCCCGAATTTATTTCAATAAATGCTTCAGTAAAACATCTGCCCATATGTACTTATTGAATAGCAAGATTAACATATGAGAAACGTGGGCAGGTAGTGTTATGTAGTGTAGTTTCACCCTGGGCCAACAGGGGGATACTGTATATAGTTTTCACTCAGGTCTGTAGATAGTTTTCACTCAGGTCCGCGTCAGTTATTTTAGGCGGGAACTCTGGGCTGTTGTGGTTACAATGTTGACAGCCGGCTGCCTATAAATACAGGCCGGCTGAGCTGTTCGCAGGCAGTTCTATTCCAGCTTACCATAATAAAGAGCTACTTGAAGAAATCGCTGTGCCGGCTGCTATGTCAACCCACGACTTAACAGGTAGGATATGGCCTTTTCCATTGTGGCATGACAACTGTAGAACGCCTGTTCAGGGGAGATGCCAACTGTCTCCATCACTGCCCAGAATCTGTCAAGCACCAAAGGATGTGCATTTCAGATGGCCTTGGGGGGTATATTGATTTATCTATGTAAATATAAAAGCTTGTTAGCCTAGCATCAATCCTTATGACCAAGAAGGAGGGTCACCACTCCTAGATCTTTCTTTGGTGGCAGAGTAAACCAATAATTTTGGAAAGGGAGATTTCATTACATGTCCCCTAATCTGAGTAGGTTTCAGTTGGGACGTTTTGGAACATAGTAGGCTAATGGGAGCCAGTTCTTGGAACCACCTTCACATACAATGGTTTTGTAATCTTGGACCCTATTACTGCAACCCATTTTTTCATGCCATCAGGATCTTGTCCATTGTCTCACTGGTTTCAGACTACAGGAAGGAAGGAAGGAAGGAAGGAAGGAAGGAAGGAAGGAAGGAAGGAAGGAAGTTCTGTTGTGCAGTTCCATCTCTGAGACAGAGACAGAGACAGAAAGATGGCTCCTTTGCACCATAATGGCTAAGAAAACTGGTCCCAGTTAACTGACAATGATAACACATACAAATCCCTCAAAATCTGAACCCATTATGCCTTCTCGAAGGACTGCAAAAATTAGTTACTTAGCCTGGCTTTTAATAGCCAGTGCTAAGCCTATTCACACTGCACATAGTTAAACTTCAGAATGCCACAAGATATAAAAATGGCCTCCAGTATGAATGGCTTTGAAAAGGGATTAGACAAATTCCTGAAGACTAAGGCTATCAATTACTACTAGACATGATGACTATGCATGACCTCCAGTATTAAAGGTATTAGACCTCTGAAG